TAACCAAAACATGTGGATTTCCCATTTCGTTCTTCACTTTTCTTTCTTGAATTGATTTCATCTATATATAAGATCATTAGGCTTAAAAAAAAAAAACAAAACAAATTTTGAAGAGAGTATTACGTTTCCCATATTTTCTTTTGACTTTGCATTAATTATTTAGTATCTAATTTTTTGCTTTCATCATTATAACTGCTTCAAACCTCCTGATTCACGTGGGATATTTCAATTGTGCCTACCCATTATGAAAGTTACTTTATGATATTGTAATGATGCCGACAGATTATACATATAGTTAGTGAAAACTACAAAGCGTGGTCCTGACATGGATTGTCCTCTCTCAAACATGATACATGTGGATTTAGAATTCAGTAATTTACAAACATTCATTTTAATTTCAAAAAAATAATTTTATTACTGTAAAGAAGATGCCAAGGGACCGTGGCAAGACATCAGGGAGACAACACTGGTGACGTGTCTCCATCCTACAGCTCTCTAACAAATTGATATTCTTGTGGTCCTATGATTGTTGTGCTGTCATCTCTCATTACTATTCTTGTCCACCAAGTTTTGTAAATTGCCTAGGAAGTGTCATTCTCTCATTACTATTCTTGTCCACCAAGTTTTGTAAATTGACTAGGAGTGTCATTCTCTCATTACTATTCTTGTCCACCAAGTTTGTTAATTGACCAGAAGCGTCATTCTCTCATACTATTCTTGTCCACCAAGTTTGTAAATTGACCAAAGCGTCTTCTCTCATTACTATTCTTGCCCACCAAGTTTTGTAAATTGACCAGAAGTGTCATTCTCTCATCACTATTCTTGCCCACCAAGTTTTAAAATTAACCAGAAGCGTCATTCTCTCATTATTACTTGCCCACCCGTTTTGTAAATTGATCAGAAAGTTTTCTGAATTTGTTATGTAAATGTGTATAAATTAATTGTTTTACAATAATGAAAAGCACTCCAGTCAAACTTAATATTCATTGTCTCTCTCTGGCTCTGCTCTTTCTCTTTTTTCACTATTACCATTAAAATATTTATAAAAAAAGTGAGTTGAGCTAGCTGGACTTTTCATAGTTTAACAAATGAAGATCTGTTGAGATAACGGCGTCATCAAAGTAAGGCCAGAATAGAAAGGTACCTCGTAAGTAGTTTACTTTCTATGCCTGAGACCAATAGAAAAGTAACTTGAAACCTCTAAAATGCGCTTGGCTTCTTGAGATCTAGTTCCTTCAGCCATAACACCGGTTCTATTCACTGCAAGGAAACATTATTCATCATAGATTTTCGCAACACGAAGAATATGGTTGAACAATGTGTGATGACCTTATTTATGCCTTCAGCCATTCAACAAAATTCTTGAAATTATTATAGGAGCTTCCATCTTCTTTGATGCTATTCAGCACCCTTTCCTTGAGATCCAAAACATTTGCTTTATGCTTACCATTACCCAGCAGTTCTTCCAGTTTAGTTTTGAATTCTGTAAAAAATCGAAAGAGTAAAAAAAAAATATATATATATAAAAAGAACAACACACAAAAGACACACAATATTTTATGTGGTTCAGTATAACTCATCTACATCCACGGTGAGAGGGTTTTCATTATACTAATATGAATACGATACAAATGTTTCATCACACCATCAACCTAGTACCTTTACTTAGGCGGACATCATGTTCCTATAATGTTTAATACCCCTGTGGTATTTTCCTGATACCCTATGGTATCCTTACATCAAAACTCTTTGTATTCTCACATAACTTTGAATACAAAGGGTTTTGATGTAAGGATAATACAAGGGGTTTTGATGTAAGGATACCTCAAGGTATTGGGAAAATACTCTTTCTTTACTTTTCTCTCTCATAATTTTGAATTGGTTTTAACTCTCCTATTTATAAGTAAAATAGGACATTCTTATTCTACTAGGATTCATATTTATATTCTTAATAGAACTCATCTAATTTAAATCATTCTCCTATTTTAATTTAAATAAAGTCTTAAATCAATTCTTCTCTCCTAATATATCTCACAATAGAAAAGGAAAACAATTATTCATAATTACAAATTCCTAAACTATAAATTTACTTAAAACTTAAATTCATTTTTCTTCTTGTTTGCATTTTCTTCTTTCTTGCGTTTTTTCTTTTTTTTTGATTACAAAAAAGTGTTCACATTCCAACAAATTCTTCCCGTGTAATAATCCCACTATCGTCTTTGCTTAACTCCAATCCTACCTTTCAAACAAGACAAATGTAATTCTCTTTGTGCATCTGGTCTGCAAAGTAAGGCCAACACAAGAACAGGACACCATTGCTTATAGCTTCAATGGTGGAGTTCCATCCACAGTGGCTTATGAAGCAAGCAATGGAAGGATGTGCCAAAACCTTATGTTGAGTAGGAGTGTTCGGTTTCGGATACCCTGTACTTTTTGAAGGAACTGGAACCGGAATCGGAACCGATGGTTCCTTGAAATTTGGAACTAGAACCGGAACTGACGGTTCCGATTCCTAGGTACCCAGAACCAGAACCTGTAACAACGGTTCTGGTTCCGATTCTAGGTACCTTGTAAAATTACATGACCTCTCAAAAGTTTTTAAAATCGCAAAAAAACCCTTAAAAACTTACAAATACCCCCCCACCTGGCACTTGTTAACAAAAATAAAATTATAAATTCAAAATTACAAACTCCATTACTTTGTAAAGGTAATTCTTAAAAGTCAAACCAATTTACTTTAAATGTTATGAAATATAAATATAAATGCATTCACATTACTTTTTCTACAAAAGTTTTTATTAACATTCCTAATCTTTAATTTTATTTTATATTAGTCTCGGTTCCTAGTTCCTGGTTCCGATTCTGGTTCCTAACTATAGGAATCGGAACCGGAACTGCACAGTAACATCTTTGCTTCAAGTCCAAACTAACATTCATCTTTTCGGTCATTGGATCGAGTAGAATGCTTGAAAAAGACTTGTATAGCCTACTTCAACTAGATGAAAACTATAAATCCTTAATTGAGTTTGACTTACATTGTTTATGATTCAGCTGGAAGCTCAAAGAAGACACAGAACATAACAATAAACNATGAGGCAAGAAGACATTAGTGAGGGTGCATTGGTTGCAAGCTTCAAAGGCAAACCTGCACAGACACAAACAAGGAAGTATGCTGGAGATAGAAAGGGGAAAGAGAATAGTAGTAATCAGTGGGAAAGGGTTGGTGGAGTGAAAGAATTTCCAGCCTGTACTCATTGTAAAAAGAAAGGGCATCCGGAGAGAAGATACTGGTTCAGGCCTGGTATACAGTGCAGGAGTTGCAAGCAATTCAGGCATATTGAAAGGGTGTGTAAGAACAAAGGAAACTAGCCAACACAGCAAGCAGCAGTTGGGGAGGATCAGCAACAATGTCAAGAGGTTGAACAACTTTTTGTGGCCACTTATTACATGGCACAAACCAGCAGTGAAGCTTGGTTAATTGATAGTGGCTGCACAAATCATATGGCTGCAGACCTGCAAAACTTTGTGAACCTGGATAGATCATATTGCTCCAAAGTAAAGATAGGAAATGGTGAGCTTATGGAGGTCAAAGGCATGAGGGATGTTGCTGTCCAAACTTGGTCAGGTACAAAGTTAATCTCTCATGTGTTGTATGTTCCTAGACTCAGCCAAAATTTATTGAGTGTGGGGCAGATGTTAGAGAAGGGTTATTCATTACATTTTGAGAATCAAGCATGTACCATACTTGATCCTAAAGGAGTCGAATTGATGAGGGTAAAAATGCTAGGGAAAAGTTTTTCGGTTGAGTGGAAAACTACAAATGAATCTACCTTGTTAACTAGACAGGAGGAGTCAGAAACTTGGTACAAACGGCTTGGACATTACCATTATAATGCTCTCAAAGAGTTGAAGAAAGGGAACATGGTCCAGGACTTACCAAAGATTGAAGAAAAGAGTATCCTCTGCAGTGTTTGTCAAATTGGCAAATTAAGTAGACCTTCATTTCCTTCGGATCAGTCCTGGAGAGCAACAACAAAACTTCAGCTAATCCATTCAGATGTTTGTGGTCCTATGCAGACAACATCATTGAGTGGAAACAGGTATNATATACAAAAGGTTTACATCAAATTATCAACTATTACACCTAATTTTACAGTGATTTTTGTAAGGATTACATCAGCACCACACAATTGTAACTAACTACTAAACAAACAGTGAGTAACGAAAACCAAAATAACAGTAAACATACAATCCACAAACAGTAAAGAGAAAAAAGAAATACACATAATTTTATCCTGATTTATCTAATTAACACTTAACAGGTTACGTCCAACTGAGTCAATATTATTGTTATACTACCTCAACTCTCTCTTTTGCTATAATGTAGTTTACCCTATTGTTTGCTATCACCCGTTACAAGAAAAAAGTATGTTTATATACTAGGTTTGAAATACTAAACCTAGTATTACAACTATTCCTTAGCTCAAACTCGATAAGAAATTAATAATTTAAAAAACTCTTTCAGCGATTCTTAATGGAAAAGGCCCAAACCACCTATGGGCCGAGGGCACTGCCCTTTGCACCCTGCCTGCTCATCGGGGAGCGGAGACCCTGACCACTAACCAGGCAGCAGCACCCCTAAATGCGTCTGTGTGGTTTATTAATGCCAAAGTAGTCAACAACTCCCACAAACACAAAATATCTGGAATTTTTTAACTAAAATGATGTTGCATTGATTGCTGCAGTTAACAAAAAGGGCCGACTTAAACTGCATTGTTTTCAGCTCTAATGACCTACTTCTTCCAGCTTCAATCAGCTGCTATTTACATCTCCAAAACACGATATACGTGGATTGACAATTCAGTAATTTTTAAACATTCACTTTAATTTCAAAAAAAAAAAAAAAAAAAAATTATTACTCATTAAAATATTTAATAAAAAAAACAAAAAAAGTGAGTTGAGCTAGTTGGACTTTTCATAGTTCAACAAATGAAGCTCAGTTGAAATAATGGCGTCATCAAAGTAAGGCCAGAACAGGAAAGGTACCTCATTAAGTAGTTTAACTTTCTATGCCTGAAACCAATAGAAAAGTAACTTGAAACCTCTGTTTGAGGGACATATACTATCCATCACAATAATCAAGATCAGGTAGGCTTTTTCCCTGAAGAAATATAGGAGTAGAATTGTAACATACCGAACAATCAATGTTTCTTACAATAAGGCGAAAAAAGATGTCGAAATTTCACATTATCTGATTAGAGATATAAATGTTCTTCAAAAACAAGTAGAAACGGGTAGGTTTATCCAAAGCGAAGATACCGTTCTTCCTCATAGTCCAAGTATCATAATTTCTTGAACAAGTATTGAGCACTCCTGAACTACATGACAAATAAAAACTTTATAGAAACAACTGATACCCAGAATCTTATATAATGAAGTTTTAACGATTTCGGAAGACCTTACTTATGTCTTTAGCCATTCCACAAAATGCTTGAAATTATTATAGGAGCAACCACCTTCTTTGATGTTATTCATCAAACTTTCCTTGAGATCCAAAGCATTACCTTTATACTTGCCATTATCTAGCAGTTCCTCCAGTTTACTTTTGATTTCTTCTCTTGTAATTATTCCACTTTCATCTTTGCTGAACCCCAATCCAACATTCCAAACATTACAAATGTAATTCTCATTGTGTTTCTGATCTGCAAAGTAAGGCCAACACAAGAACGGGACCCCATTGCTTATGCCTTCCATGGTGGAGTTCCATCCACAGTGGCTTATGAAGCAAGCAATGGAAGGATGTGCCAGAACCTTCTGTTGAGGCGCCCAACTAACTATATGCCCTCGAGGCGCGAATCTGTCTTGTAATCCTTTCAGATAGGCATCATTTATTTTCGCTGCAATATCAGAACGCACAACCCAAAGGAATGGTCTGTTGGAGAGTTCAAGTCCCATAAACAATTCTTGGAACTGAGTTTGGTCAAAAATAGTTGTACTGCCAAATGCAATATATACGACTGACTGTGCTGGTTGTTGATCAAGCCATTTCAGACAAGTTAAGTCTTCTGGCCAGAAGCTACCTGCCGAGTCTCCAAATCGGTTTCTTGCTAAAAGTGGACCAATTTGTTTGAACTTTGGATCAGTGTTAAAAGCTGCAGGCTCAAGGTCATGAGTTGAATTGCAAAGCACCCACTCTGCCAATTGTATTGATGGGTTGTTTTTAACAGTATTTTCAAAAAACAGTCTCTGCATTTTCGATGTGCCAAGCCAGAGAAATCCTATGTGTGCTGTGCTCATGACAGGCATGGTTGGTGACAACTGAAACATTTCTTTCTTTGGAATTCCTGGAAAGGAAATTAAAATCAACATCAAAATAAACCATGAAGCTATCCCCTTTTAACATCTTTGCCTTAGGTCCAAACAAGTATATATCTTGTTAGTTCTCGAATAGAGTGATACGATTGAAAAGACACATGTAGCTGACTTCAACTAGATGGAAAGCGTTTTACTTTTAGTTGCTCATACTTCAGCTGGAAGTTCGCACAAGATACAGAACAATATTACAAACACCTTGAATTATTATGTAAAACATCTCTTTTGGATCTAGTCTACTTTCCCTGTTCTTACTTGCTCTATTGAGAAATCAAGTGTGATACCTCAACAATCAAAATCTATCTGTTTTCATTAAGCACAACTATCAGTTTTTCAAGCAAACTTTGAATTAGTGCGTAATCTTTTTTGACATTCCTATCACTGCATACTGATGTGGAAATATCTAACTTGTGTGTGTCTATATGTGCAGGTATGAATTAGTTTTTTCTCACTTGGATAAAAATGATTAAAGAAGTTTCATCTATTAGCATAATATCAAATTATACTACTCTTAACTTGCCAGACTTAGTGATAAATGATCTTACCATCATCATCAACAATTCCATCATCAATCAACTTTTGGATTCTAGATCTTAAGACAAGCTGTGTGGCTGCTGCACAATAGAAGACGGCTCGCCTAATTCCCTTCTTCGCTGCAATTTCCATGGCCCAGTTGAGAACTGGATCTGCCAGAACACAAGTGATCTTATCACTATCTGATGCATTAATCTGTTCAATCAGCTCCTCAACTTTTTTTGGCATTAGCCAGAGGATTGCTTCAACAAGCTTCTCTGCTAATTGACCTGTATTCTCAGAAGACTCCTGTACCAGTGGAATCGAAACAAGATGAAACTGATCACCCATACCATCCTTCATCACTAATGCATCCATAACTCTTTTATGATTCTCTTGTGTGTTTACAAATGTGATTCTGATGCCATGATTCACTAAGCATTGAGATAGCTCCATTAAAGGAAGTACATGGCCTTGTGCCGGAAAAGGTATAACCAATACATGAGGATTTCCCATTTGGTTCTCTCTTTTTTTCACAATTCAAGAATACTGCTGAAGTATATTTATAGGGTGAACTGCTAGAAAATTTACTCATAGGACTTTGTAGTTTCATATTGGCTACATATGGACGGCGGCCTGGCATCTAGCAAGGAGTTTTTTGTAACTAAAATCTTGGTTCAAATGGTTATTTTCATTCTTACAATTTGCTAAAGACATGGAGATAAATTTAGTGAATCCAGAAAATCTGAACTTGTGAAGGGATTCTTTATTTATTTATGATATGAAGCAAGCAATGGAAGGATGTACCAGAATCTTTTTCCCGAGGTGCCCCAACTAACTGTATGGCCTCGAGTGGCAACCAATCATTCATGCCCGACCGGTCAACAATCAACATAAAGTCCAATGAAAACAGAACCCACCAACAAATTCAGTTCACAGTATCAGTCACCGTTTGACCAGCTCACCTACTTGCGAGGGATGAATACCTCTCATCGTCCAGATTTTTCCAAACCCATCAAGTCCCAGCATCATGACCCAGATCATCAAGACAGGGCCGGCCCAAGGGTAGGCACCTGCCTAGGCCCCCAAATAATAAGGTAGAAAATGACCCAAATTTTTTTAATATATTAAAAAAAAAAAAAAAAAAAAAAAAAAAAAAAAAAAAAAGCCTAAAAAGCCCAAATTTATTATAAACAAAAAGTGAACTCTATTTTTTTTAGTAACATATAAGATTGAAAATTTTGAATTTCTATTCGGCATAATTATTTGGTATAAAATGTTATTTATTGTTAATACGCTTAGTAAATATTTACAATTTAAAAATATGGACATTTTTGTTGTAATAGATCAGTTGAAATATCTTATTTCATTTTTTGAAAAATTTAGAGAAAATGGGTTTACATTTTCTATGATTTCGGTTAAAGAGATTGCAGAGCAAATGAATATAAAACCAAAATTTTGTGAAAAACGTACAATAAAGAGAAAAAAACAATTTGATGAAAATGAAAACTAAGAGATGAAATTGTTAGTTGAAGAATCTTTTAGAATAAATTATTTCGCATATTTAGTTGATCATGCCATTTCCTCACTTCAAAGTTGGTTTCAACAATTTGAAATATAAGTAATGCTACACTTACAAAATTTTTTTACAAAGATCTCCATACAAAGTGATGTGACCAAAAATAAATGGAAGAGTGAATTTAATAAGTTTGACTTTTTGTTTCACTCTTCTATTTATTTTTTGCCACCTCACTTTGTATGCAAATCTTTATAAGATTTCTTTGTAAATATAGTATTATTGTTGAAATATATAATGATAATTTTGGTTTCCTTTATAATATAGAAAAGTTAAAATTCCCAGATGATGATAATTTGAGAAAAAATTGTTTAAATCTTGAAAACCTTTTAAAATATGACATGTTCTCTGATATTGATGGTTTAAATTTACATTCAGAATTAAAAATTTTAATAGAAATTATAAACGTGGAAATTAAAACACAATACTAGATTTTATAAAAAATGTGAATTCTTTTTCAAATACATAGATAGCTTATACAAAACTATTAACTATTCTTGTTATTATAGTTTAGCAGAAAAAAGTTTTTCAAAATTAAAGTTAATAAAATCTCATTTGCGTTCAACAATATCATAAGAAATATTAGATAATTTGTTAATATAGAAAAAGATTTGGTTTTTAAACTTAGAACATAAAAATTTAATTAAAGATTTTGTATCTTAAAAAATAAAAAATAAATAAATAAATAATTTTTTTAATATATACTTATATTGTTAAAAGCATAAAATAACTCTTGCCTAATCATACATGAGAAGTTATTGCTAACCTCATACCCGCATAAATCAATAATGCTACGGACATCGGGATTTTTGTACCGAAATATTGTACCGGCTTACGTGTAAGACATCTCTAATTTTTTTAACAATTTTTTTCTAGTGAACGGTCGTCCATCAAATTTGGACAGCCGTTCACTCACATGGACGCTCGTCCATATTATATGGACGGGCGTCCATATACAAGGGACAGACGTCCCCATTTAAAGGACGCCCGTCCATAAATAAAATACAATAAAAAGTTTTTATAAACTTTGGGGACGGCCGTCCATAAATTTTGGACGGCCGTCCCTTATGTTTGGACGGGCGTCCATTCCGTCCATANTAAAACTCATTTTGGGATGATCCTCCGAATGCATCATTTCGGGAATCCATTATGAATTTATGATAAAATAATAATAATTAAAATGAAAAAAAATTAAATAATAATATGAATAAGAGATGATATTGAAAAATAGAAAAAATAGAAAAATATAAATAAATAAATTATAATATGAATAAATTATAAATATAAATATAAATTGAATGAGAATTTGATTGGAGATTTGGAGTAGAGAGTAAAGAGATTGAGTGGTGTGGTGTGGTATGGAAAAAATGAAAATTTTTTTTCTTAAATTTTGTAAAATTTTATTTTAACCTCTACAATTTCTGTTTATTTCAAAATTTACGAGAGGTTTTATGTAATTGTCTAGGGGCTAAAAAATAAACCGAAAGTGTTTGGGCTTGGGCCTTGGAGGAGGGCTCAATGGAGGGACTGAGCCCTCCTCCTTAGGCCTAGTCCAGTTTTGGGACCAAGCCTACTAAGACCGATCCTCTCAAAGATCGAGTTTTTGGGCCAAGGTTTTGGACCTAGTCTCAAATGCCCAACTCTAATTTTGACCTTACACATGTTTTACATTTTCCAAATTTGAGTTCTTTCAAGAATTGTTACCAACTTGATAATCTCTTTCCCTCTCTTTACAAGTGAGATGACAGGAGGCCATATATTATTTTTGAACGATAACTACGGAAAGACTTGATTCAATCTCAATTTCCATTCTACAGTAAATTCTGAACCACACCTGTGTTCAAATGCTTAAACAGATGTTTGATATAGTAGTGATGATCAATTTGTATTTCTAATTTATGTTTTATGCGCCCTTATCTTGATCTGACATAAAATAGGTCAGTCGAATGTCATTGCATTTTAAAACTTTTGATCCCTGAAAGAGAAAGACTGCCTGAATTTTGCTTAGAGCAGCCTTGTGCAAAGAATTAATTCTAATAGAATGAGAATACTTTCTTTTGTAAGCATGCTTCAATTTTTGATTTTTAATGTATATAGTTTTATAAGTAAACAACAATATAGCTTAGTGGATGGAAGATTATACATGACTGAATAAATGAATCAATAAACGAATGTAGGTCAATGACAGAACAAATATACAAGTTGACAGACTATAATCCAAATACTTCGGCTGCAATAGAAGAACATTCATACGGGTGAAGCCATTTGCTTGTACTTCATCTTGACTTCATCCGTATCATTTTTTTTTAAGTTTCCCGTTACAGTCGTTTTTCTTTCTGACGCTAAAAGACGTTAACCCACATGACTAGAAGACCTCTAAACGACGGCCTGAGTGCTCAACGCCGATTGGCAACTCCATAACTAACTAAAGAATTCACCCCACTGTCTATAAAAGCCCCTCTAAAACCCTTCATTTCCTCCTCCCCTGCATTAACTTGAAAACAAACTCAAACAAAAATTACTCTAAAGACAGAGAAAGAAAATGCTTACCGAGAAGAAGAATCCACTCCCAGAAATTCCTACCATCCAAGAACAAGAAGCAGAAGAAGAAGAAGAAGAGCTCCTCCTTCTTCAAGAAACCGCTACCATGGACTCCTCCACCTTCTTTAAAGACGAACCCACCGCCACCACCACTACTGGCTTCTCTAACCTCCACCTCACCAACCACCATTCTTGCTCCTCCTGCGGTTGCAATGAAAACTCCGCCTCCGCCACCCCCTCCTCCTCCTCTGCCACTCTCAAACGTTCCTCCTCTGAATCCAACACTCTCCAACCCAGTTCCAAGAAACCCAACATCAACCCCACCTCTCTCTTTGGCTTCTCCAAGATTCCTCACACTACTACCTCCGCAATCACCTCACCCTCTGTCTCGGCCCCGGCTCCGAACACATCTCCGAGCCATCCTTTTCTCCGACGCTGCGTTTATGATCTCGGAGACCCACTCCCTACCCAAGTAGCGGCTGAAACACCTCAGTCGCCCCAGTCACAGAATGCGAACATGTTGTGCCCAGGGACTCCGTTGTCGGCGGCGAAGTTTCCGCCTATACCATCGACTTTAAGGCGGTCGGTGTCAGACCCCAATCCGTCTCCGGCCCCTACGTTTTCCAGTTCATGCGACGGCGTGGGAGAGTACCATGTTCCTAATGCAGAGGTTGGAACTTTCTAATGTTTAATTGTCAATTTTTGCGATTCATTCCAATACTTATTGTGTGATTTTGTGTCCTTACTGATAAAGGTTCTATTAAAGGTTCTTGAATAGAACGTGGGGTCTTTATGCTTCTATTCTCTGGTTAATAAAGATTTTTGACTTTATTGTTTTTTAATGTCTAATTATCAAGGTTCTTGATATTGAATTCATTGCTTTATTGAACATTGTGTTTGATTGACATTGTTTGGGCAGTGGGCGAGGAAGTTTAGTAATTGTATGAAGGAAATGGCTCGAAAATGGGATGAATTGCTTGGTTTTGAAGAAGATAAGGGCGGGGAAGAGAACCACAACCGAAGCTACAGCAACGACGTTGAGAACAACAATGCATCAATGGTACTTTTTTATTGTTCAAATTCTTATTGTTAGTCTCTGTGGTGGCATATAACAGAATAAAGATTAAAGATTATAAGTGGGCTGTTCATTATTAATGCATTCAGGATAATTGTGGGGAAGATTTTGTTGAAGCTGTGACGGTGGAGAAGGCCGGCAAGTGTTTGATTATCCATTTCAAGTGTCCTTGTGGCAGAGGATATCAGATTCTACTCTCAGGGAAGAACTGTTACTACAAGCTCATGTAGACTGCTGGTATAATGTTGGCTGCTGGTGGTATTGATTTTGACTACTGATGGTTGATGATATTGATTCTTTGAAGTTACTGTATAATGTTGGCTGCTGTTAGTATTTATTTTGATTACTGATGGCTGATGATATTGATTCTTTGAAGTTACTGGTACAATGTTGGCTACTAGTGGTATTGATTTCTGAAGATACTGATGGAATTGGTTCTTTGTCTTGAAGTAAAACTCATTGGGGTGCAATTGATTCTGTATTTTGAAGTCAAGTTTTTCAATGTGACTGCTTGGTGTAGCTGATGCAGAAGTTGAATTGTAATTACTTGTGTATTTTGAAGTCAAGTTTTTTAATGTGACTGCTTGGTGTAGCTGATGCAATTGGTTCTTTGTCTTGAAGTAAAACTCATTGTGGTGCCATTTTATAATTTCTACCTTAGCAATGCCATTTTATAGTATCATGTTTGATGTTGGATATCACCTACATCCCGACGGCGATACATTCAATCTTATTAAATTGTCACATGGTTAATGAATTATGACATGTTTACTTTAAAATATTCATATTTTTCTTTTACTTTGACAGGTTCATCTGCGTTACATCTGTTTTTGTATAGTTATCTGAAAGTAATGTCCCAGTAATACTTTTATATGTAAAGGCAGACACCTGCGAACTGTACTTTCTGAACTATCAATAATTCTTGTAGTACACAGATTCTAAAATGTAAATTAAATCCTGGGGATCAATTTTTCTAAATACAAACTTTAGACAGTCATATCAGAACCTGAAGTGTTATACTATTGGAAACACTAAAAATATGAACACGGAGAGGAGTAATACCTCCAGCTTATGCAGAACTTGAGCCACAGGACAGAACTAACAGAATGTAGACAGCAGTTATACTGCACAAGTGAAAAGATTATCTTGTACTGATCAACTAGTTAATATAAAAACTTCTTATTTTGATACTAACCAGTGAAGAAAACTTGACTCCAAGTTTGAGGCAATCAAATTTTTTAAACCTGTTTGAAGACTATTCTTCCTACATGTCAAGTTGGAGATAATTAATTTTCCATCTTTATGGCTCCTGTCCTTGTTCCACTTGCTCAAAGTTTGTTTTACAAATACATTTGAAGTTGAAGTTTTGCAACTGCATCATGATAATTATAGACAATTGGAACACTTGAGTCTTTTAATCCAATGATCTCCTGAGAGGGCACGCTTGTAGTTACAAGAAACTTTATTAAATTATAAAAAATACTGTTCCTTATTGAACTCTGGAAGTATAAATTTTGTGATGTTACCTACAATTTTATTATCCTGAGAAAGAAGAAACCAAAATGGTGTCAGAGATGCTACAGCATTTCATCTTTGCATTTCGGTATAGTTGCTCTCACAGTTCAGGTGCATGTCCACAGTCAATCAGGTTAACTCAATGCTTAACTATCAATTTTCATTTAATGTAATTATTATAGGCAAAGGTTACCATTTTTTTTCTGTGTGTCAGGATTCAGTAGCATGGTCTGTGCCTCTGTGGAATACTGGAAAATTCTGGCTATACTGACAAGATAACAGGCATAAATTACACTTCAGATGTAGCCTTTGTAGAGACTGATGCAAGCAATAATATGTCCCTTGAATACAACAGTAACACCCTTGAACAACAATTCTTCAATCTTAGAAGCTTCCCTGAGGGAATAAAAAATTGCTATGCGCTGAAACCTGAACGAGGCAATACTTTTGGTTGGTGAGGTCGTGGGGGCTTGGGGTGTGTGTAATATGGGAGGTGTTATGCTGTCCCTGGCCGTTTTCTTGGTGGCTTTTCTGGTTGCTGGTCTGGTTGTTTGGGCAGGTGGTGTTTGGGCTGTGGGTGACTGGGGCTGGGCACTTTGGATGGTTTTGTGGTTTGATCTGAGGTGGTGCTTGTTGTTAGGCTTTTAGTTTGCTGGTCTTGGGTTTGGTTGTGCAGGTTGTTGTTGCTGGTTTGCTGTGGTGTTGGGGAAAGGGATGGCTGTGGGGGTCCGGTTTTTCTGGGTGGTGTCTTCACCACGGGGGCTGCTGCCTGTTTGGTCCTTTCCTAGTTGTTAGTTGGCTGTTTTTTCAGTTTTGATGTGGGGCTGCTTGATCCTGGGTTTTTTGGCTGCCGTTTTGGTTGTGAGCTGAGGTCTCTGGTTTGATTGTTTTTTTGGTCCTGGTTTGGCCTGCGGTGGGGTGAATGTGGGGGCTGTTGTTGCTGCAGGATGGTGTTCTGTGCTGCTGGGATTCTCCTTTGTTTTTGAGCCTTTTTGGCCTGCTGCAGTTTTCTGGAGATAGGGGAGTGTGCTGGGGAGTGGTTTTTTAAGCTGTCTTTGTGTGCAGGCTGTTCAGCCTTCTTTGATGGACTGGGGCAGGAGTTTTTTTATCTGCTCTGGGTTGTGGGCTGTGTTTTTTTTAGGATTGTTTATCCTTTCCCTTTGGGTTTTCTCCTGTAAAAAGTTGCATTGTAAGGGGTTCTTCCCTCTTAGTATCTATTCTTTATTCATTATAAAAATTACAAGTTACCCAAAAAGTTTTTGATTAGAGCCAGATTCATTTATGGAATGACGGCCAGGGGAAAGTACCAAGTTTCAATCTCCTTCTTGGAGCCGATATGTGGGATTAAGTGGAAATGACAGATAAATCAACTATTGTTAGCAAGGAGATAAATCATATACCTCAGAAAAACTATATATGTGTCTGTCTCGTAAACACAGGCTCCGGCACACCTTTCCTTTCAGCTCTAGAATTAAGACCCTTGAGAAATTCCACATATGCTACTCAATCAGGATCACTGCTTCTGTACAGAAGGTTGGATATTGGATCACAAGCTAATGGAACAGTCAGCTAATTCATATTATTTCAGGAAAATATCCTCTCCTAATCTTATTCTTACTTTAACAGTATTATTTCAGGAAAATGACCCCAACCGGATTCCCCAGTTGCCACGATGTAGAGCTCGGAATGAGCTTTCCGTAAATATCTTAAGGGCTCCAAAACTTCTCCCGGATCAAAAGTTATGGCTGTTTTAAGTTAAATTGTCGGTTGAGGACCTCTAAGTCGTGCGTTTGGGCTTCTGACGCTCTGCTCTCTCTAAGAATTCATCTACTAGACATTTTATGTCAGTTATCAGATTGTGATTAGCTTTGGATCACTCTAAGCTTTTAGATCGCAGTCCTAGCTCTCAGCACCCGATCACGCTAGGCATAATTCAAGCTCGAAGATATAAGTTTTTGAAGTGCAATTACATACTCTAAGAGGTTCTGTTATGTCAAAAGTGGTATTAGCGGCCAAAACCCAAACCACCTCAAAGAGATATTATATAACATTTGTCCCACCTTTATCAAAATAAATGATCAGAATGAATGAAAGCTCTTCATGTGTCAAGACAACTTGCAAAAACACTCATTACGATTGAACTCAAAGGTGTATAAATTAGCAACTCTCTTTATGAAAAAAAGAGGCTGGATACATGAGAGCTGGGCACATATTCGAGCTTCAACCATTATTTTTCTTTGTAAACAAAGCATTACTCCATTTTTGTATACCTTATAGGCAGTATCAGAAAAATAGTCAGAGAATAATAAAATAACAGTGGATGTAGGATTCGCTTTAAGCATCCGAACCACTATAAAAAATCATTTCTATCAATCTTTTATTTATATTTCTTCAAACATATATCACTACTGCATCATATTCAACTCTCATAATCATATTACATGCAACTCCTAAAATCCTCTTAACACTTTACAGGTGCGTAGTTGTTGGTGTCAAAATCACGCATCAACAATATTAAATAATAAATTCTATAACCGGTTCTTATTTTTAAGTAAATTATATTGTTTCATTTCTCAATCGGAATAGTATCACCAACAATAGATCAAATTGAAGCTATTGCTTTGAAGAAAAAAAAAGCAACCGAAAAATACAAATAAAAACCAGTTTAAAATTCTCATCCACATAAAAGTACAAGATTTCGCAGGCTCATTCAAAGAAGTCTACCTTCCCTTTGAATATAAAACTGCGTAAAACATTGATCTTTACAAATATAAGCAATTTCTCGTTAATTAAAGTGAAAGCATGTAAGAATTGTAAAAAGAAAATTTTAACTTTAACTCAAACCATGTTCCATGATCCTAAACATAGATATTTACCGATACATTAGGGGTTAACAAACGATGCTTATCTTCTTTCCAAAACACATCATTTCTATACCAAAAATATGACGTTGTTCGCTTGTAAAGACAAAAACAACAACATTTCTTTCATCATAGACAACGTTGTTCGCGTTTAATATAATACGATGACGTTTGCGTTTCTACTAGTAAACAATTAAACATTATTTAAGTCCATTATGAAAACTAAAGATAGGGGCTTTATAGATATTTATGTAACCAAATGGGGGTTCTCTTACATTGGATCAAACAAAGTTGTTCCACAACATCCAAACGACATCGTTTAATCTGACATGAGTACGACAAGATTCAACAGGACGCAGGGGACAAACATCGTTGCGCAGTTTTGCTATGAAAACAGTGTCGTTTACATGAGATCCAAAAGCCCGTCATTCTTCTTCTTAATGGTAAGTATCACTTAACTCCACAAGAATCCTAAAAGTAAGGGCTCCTTGATATTTACCAAATCATAAGGGGGGTCAAAGTTATTTCCAAACGACGACGTAGTGTGTACTTTTTCAAATGATTTCGTTTCTCTCTATCTAAAATAAAACGACCACATTTCCAACCCCGCACTTTCTTTCTATCTGAAATAAAACGACGTCATTTCACCGCCACCCCCATGCGTTAAACAACGGGTTTCCACCCCCCTTTGAACACCCGCTTTCAGTAAAGGTAATAACACGGCGTGTGTTTTGACTTTTGTCTCCTTAAAACTATGTCGTTTCTTATATCAAAATGTCATCGTCTCTTTCTATGAAACGACATGTCTTCCGCTTTTGTAAACAGCACATCCTGCATTTTTGAAATGTTAGTGAACCCCTTATTGTTTAGTAAATTGCAGAAAAACCGAAATTTGATAGTTCTTGATGGAAGAAAAAGGAACGACAACTCAACTGATTTACAGGAAAAACGGAGACGCGGTTTTGTATATAAAATTAAAAAATGAATAAAAAAAGCTCAATTAAATTCATATTAGGAACCTCAGATAACATTACCATCACTGATAATCAAGCTTTCATATGAAATGAACGATCCAATGTGCTCTTAAACATAGTACAAAAATACATGTAAAGATTAATTAAGGAATGAAAAAACATTGAGTTTCATGAAAAAACTACTGAGTTTGTGATTGAAAAATTTCTAGGTATCCATAAAGATCCAATAACTGATACATACCAAACACATATGTGATTATATATAATAACCTCTTATTTAATGAATTATAACAATGGCAAAATCAAATACACCTAATCATAATCTT